TACGCACACACATACATACATATACATATAATAGACCGTCTTGTGTGGTGTGGTGGCGTTGGTAATTGTAATTGTAATAGCTGCCAACAAATCAACAGCAAAATGTATTAAAGTGTGATATCATATATGCTTTTGGTCACAAGCCATTCTCGCCTCGCATAACCGCATTCAATTAATAGAGATTCGAGAGCTGTGCAAATGAAGTGTTAACGATACCGATCGAAATTTAATATCAAATTGATGAACGACTGTTAATGCATGTAAACATTTTGGTTTATACTTGTATATATATATATATATATATATGCATAAGTAAAAACACATACACCATATATATGTGTGTATAGATGGCAATGTCAAGTTTAGAGTTTTGATAAATTAAACATTTTCATTGTACATAATTGCAATAAATTATAATTATATAGTAACAGGTTAGTTAGTTCTATGAACCGAATAACCAAACTATATCTAGCTATCCATCGGCCATAATGCAATGACATTAATTTTAAATGCAAACAATAAGTATATACATTATATATGTTTATCTGCATAGATAGATGGATAAATGGATATAAAATAGAAGTGTATGCACTTACATATATGCCATTAATAATTCATAATAATCTATTCCACCGATGACATTAGTAAACAAGTTCTGTTACCAGAGATATTTCGTTAATAATGACCCACCAACATAAGAATGTTTAAGCAAATATATATCTGCCTGCATTTATCTATATATATATATATATATGCTTGCATATATGTTCTCTATTAATTGAATATGCAAATGCGATCGAAAAGCAAACGAAAAAACGAAATAAAAAAATCACTGCTGTCATAAAAAAATATTATTATTATTATTACAAGGCGAGTAAATCAATGGAGGTGTGTCTCCGTTACACCCTCAAGATATCGCGAAGAAAGTGCCATACTATTGATAGAGATAAGGGGCTGGAGGTCAAATCTTCAGTACTCATTCGTTCATTTCTTTATATTGTACCGCGGACTATGATACTTTCTAACTGTTCACGTCTCGCCGAATCGTAAATTTAATCGAAACTTTCATTGTCGATTTTTTTTGATTGGCAAGCAAGGTACTGATCTGGTAGATAATTCACTCTCAATATCAAACCTCTATGACGTTTAATTTGCGAATGACTTTCGTAGGATGTTTTTAAATGAATTCAGTTCGCTTCAGTCATTCGATTTCCTTAATATAGCATATCTCGTAGTGCCACACGAACCTATGTATATGCAAACTGATTAGTTTTTTGTTTTTTATTTTTAATTGCGAACGTATCAGTGAACTGCTAAGTAGCATTTTTCCATACATATATATCTTACCAATTTTTTTTTTTTTTTTTTTTTTTTTTGGCAAAATTTTGGGTCAATATCTTGTACTCCCTTGTCTGAAAGTATGCTTTATATAACACAGCAAGGAAAAAAAAAAAAAAAAAAAAACACCAACTAATTTAAAGAATGTACCGTTATATTGAATTCAGTTTTTGTTCAGTTTTTTCGCATACATTTCAATAAGTAGGTTGCTA